ACTGTTGTGGGTTTGAGCCCCACGTTGGATGTGGAGATTACTTAAAAATAATAACATCTTTAAAAAAAAAAAAAAGACCTTGGGTAGGGAACCAATGATCAAATCATTTAGGAAGACTACTCTGAAAGCAGCATGAAGGTTGTTTTGGGGAGATATACATAGTATAAGATATACATGATAATTACAGTTATTAAAAAAATGTTTATTGGTACCCACTATATGCTCGGCACATAGTAAACCCGTCTGTAAGGCCTTGTGTAGTGCAGAGGTTTACACCTTGACTCTTGATGTTTTGAGCTGGATAACTCTTGGGGTAGAGGGCTGTCCTATGTATTGTAGGATTTTGAGCAGCATCCTTAGTCTCTGTCCACTAGATGCCCATAGTAAACCCCTCTGCTACCCATTGTAACAACCCAAAATGTCTCCAGATATTTCCACATGTCCCAGTGGGATGCAGGGGGCAAAAATCACCCCAGGTAAGAACCAGTGATCAAGTGGAAGGGTGCGGATAAGTGACAGGGTAATTGGAATGAATGCCATAAATATTGAAAGAACCAGCAAAGGGGTTCATTTACAGTGAAGTTAGTAAAAACTGCACGTTAAATGGGGTCTGCACAGAGGCCTCCTGAGTCCCCAGCTTCTTCATCTTCCTATCTTTCCCTCTTTGCCAAACACCAATAGATGTGGGTACCAAGTAGACACCTTGTTACCCTGTGGGCCTGCTTGATCCTACCATATTTAGGAGAACTGAATTGAAAGCTGGAAGCTCAAAGCTGTGGTCAGTTACTCATGCATAACCCCAGAAATATCCCGTTTATGAAAACCATGCCCAACAAACTGAAATTTGGTTCTAGAGGCAGACCAAAATTTGCTCAAGAGTATATGAAAAGATTTAATTCAGAATGTTGATTATAGTTTGTTCTTTCTGCAAATGAATCTCTATTGTTAAAATTCTCTTTGCAGCAATAGCAAGGATTCCTTTCTTACCATCTTACCCTTAAACCAAAAGTAAATATCGCCGCGTTCCCGTTTTCCTTTCGGCATGCCAGCTCGATTATAGGGTTCCGGCGGAGATCAGGCTCCTTTAGTCATACACAGGGGTTATTGGGGACTTTTGGAACCAAAAGGAGGATAAAATCCTGTAACCTCAGTGCTGCAGCTTGTGCTTGTTATTGTTTATGGAGGAACTTCACCCCGGGGGAAATAAGCACCAAATGTTTCTGTTTAGCTGCGAGAAGGCCCCTATTTGGGGTGGGGGAAAAGGATTAGATCATAGGCTAAGTCCATTAAGAGTTTTAAAACAATGCCATCCATCACAGAGGCCTTGCTCTAAAACCCAAATTCTCACATGTGAGGTCTCCTTTGGGGAGAGTCATTATTTAAAACCACTTAGGGATTCTGAGTGAAAAAGTTTAGCCATGGGCGGTTGATTGGATGGAACTCTTCCCAGACGCGTGTATATTTCTCACATGATGAACACTATAGAGACCTTTAAATGCCTTTGGACTTAGTTCAGCGAATCAAACCACTGCATCTTGGAACTAGAATTTTGTGGTTAGATACCCCTACTTCATAGGGTTCTTGGGAGTTTAAAATGAGAAAATCCAAGAGAAAGCTTTTTGTCAATTGTAAAATACTATACACATGTATAAATGTAAGACATCACCTTCACTATTTTATCACTGCCAATAGGCTGATAGGACCAAACCCCTAGGAGACAGTCTCTTGTGTGCATTTTGTAGTCGGTGTGTGTTCTGCCTACTGAAATAGATTCTTAAAAACACGCAATCATTTTAATTTTAGTAATTCTATTTCATTATAACCTTCACATGTCCTCACCCTCGTGCCCCCGTGTTGCACAACTCCAGGGGGCACTGTTCAGTTGTGGTGGCTTTGATTCATCCGGGAGCATTCCTTCCCCTAGAGCTGGACCAGGATACTTGTGCTGCAGCCCAGCTGCGATGGTTAATCCTGAAAATTTACAATCCTGTGTAGCTTCTTTATTTTTATAAACAATGACCTCGAATGCTGCTTGTTTGGTCAGTTTTTCACAAGTTCTTTTCACTCCACTGTGGATTCCAGCACAAGGTATGTGTTCCTTCTTTATGGAGTGGAAATGGAGGTGAAAAGAAAGGTGCTAAACACTGACCACTTGAAACTCTAAAGAGCGGGGGAGAGTCTGTGCCTGGACTCAGCACACTATTTCCCTAAAGGGCCAGATAGTGTTTTTGGTTTCTTCCTCATACAGTCCCAGCCCTGACTACTCAGTGCTGTTCTTGTAGCGTGTAAGTGCGAACAGTAGACAATACAGGAACGATGAGCATGGTTATGTTCAAAGAAAACTTTATTTATGGAATAGGTTTGAATGTCACATAATTTTCATATGTCATAAAATATTTTTGGTTTTTTTTTTTTT